CTGGTCCACTAACTTGCCTCTCTCTGCCTGTTATCTGGGCAATGTCCCAGCTTCCTCTGGCCATGGGAAGTGTCTTCTCCTACACCCAGGAGACTTCAGGAGAATCTGAGACTGGACTGGAGGAGATGGGAACACAGTGCAAGGGTCCCTGGGCAAGCGCCAGCCAGCAGACTCTTCCTAATCACTGCCCACAAATCCTTGGGCAGATTTCAGCCACGTAAATCCCACCCAGGATTTCCCACTCACCCGCTTCCCATTTTTGGTGAAGAAGATCTGGGCAGTCTGCACATCAAAGGACACAGGCTCAATGCCACAACCAATCCGGTCCCCAGAGTTGCACTTTGACCCAAACTGGCGGCCCTTGGCTCGACCATTGTACAGCCTGCAGACAGAGTAGCACAGACAGAGGACCCGAGCCTGGCCTCCCAACCTCCCCCCAGCACTGACAGCAGAGGCCTTGTCCTCATCTTGCCGCTCCTGGTCACTCTGTGATGGTACCCACTTATGTCCTGGCGTGGGCATCACCCTCCGCTCCAATCTGTAAGCCTTCAAGGGTAACTGCCAGGCCACCTCCCTGTCCTGACCAGAAAAGTCTATCAAACACCCAATGGGAAAAGCCACCCTGAGGTAGTTCTTCAGATCTAAGGTTCCCAAATCCATAGGAAAAGGGCCAGGTTGCACAGGAGGCAACTCACTTGCCATCATCAGCATGGTAGGCTACAGAGTCAGGCAACCAGCCAGGCTGGTGATCCAAGCTGTAGTACTGAGGGACCAGCCCCACAGCAATGGTGCCTCGAACTCCACTGTCCACAATAGACACCTGGAGAGAAGAGAGCAGGGCACAGTCAGCAGGGCTGGGAAATGGAATGAATTGCTGGGGATGGGGGAAGGGGACTTAAGAGATTAAAGGGGCTGAGGCTCAAAGAGACAAAGGACAAGGAATCAGAAAAAAGGATACTCAGCGGGGGAACTGGGGAGAGTACATGCCTATTTCACTTAGAAAATTAATTCCAAGCTTTGGAGAAAGATAGGAGATCGTAGAATATGGTGGCTTTGGGTTAGGGGATGTAAGTCAAGGTCTGGGATATGGGTCAAAGTCTACCTAGGTAAGGGGCAGGAGAGAAGGGACAGGGTGACAGGTCTCCAGGGCACCTATCTCTCAGATGAGGGGCCATGCTGTCCTGCACCTTTTTCCCAGCAACAGGACAGCCCTGATGAAAAATTAAAAGGCCCAGGTCATGCACCTACTAAAGGAGCTCTTTGGGGCTTAATGATCTCACCCCCGAGCTCACTCCCTGCTCTGCCCACCCACTGCCTTCATCACCTCAAAATAATTGCTGTCCTTGGTCAGGGGTCGAGAAGCCACGTAGCAGCCAACTTCACCAGAGTTTCCATGGTAACTGAAGGAGGAATGAGGGGGGAGTTCTGTTAGCAGCCTAGCCCAAGAGTAGGGGGAGAGCCCCAGCATCTCCCACCCTTACCCTGCAAAGTAAGGTCACCTCACCCTACTCCTGTCGCAACCTCCAGCTGGAATCCAACCCATACCAGACCAGTGCAAACCTGGTTTCTTCATTTCCAAGAGGAAAAGAATGTAGAGCCTCCCTTACTTGCCTATGAGAGGTCTCACAACCCTGTCTAACCTCAATCTCTCATGCTGCAGCTTCGGCCCTTTTCCTCTGGCTCTGTCCTCAGTGGAGCTGGAGAACGCTGGTCTCTATCCTCTGTACCAAAGCCCTTCACAGATCGGAAGACAGTGATTCAGTTCCCACTCCTCAGCTTTCTTGCCTCCAGCTAAACAGTACTACTTCCTTCCCCCTTCAGTGGAACTTTGTGAGAGCATGGGCTCAGGGGAGTCAGGGAAGGGGTTCAAGCCAGAAAAGAGGGAGGAAACACACACACAAACCAAGGGACTGGAAAGACACAGGAGGAGGTAGACAGGGTACACGACCGAACGGCCCTTCCCCAAACAGGAAATCCACTGCCTTTGAAACAGCCACTCTTCACTGGACCCAATCCCTGAGACAGAGGCAGGAGACTCAGGTACCCCACTGGAGTCTTCTCAGCAAAGCACCTGGGAAGCTCCTGAGACCCCAGCAGCCTCCTGTGTCTGACCCAGCTAGGACAGACCCTTGCTGGATTCCCTCCTTGCTGGATGAGGACAGAGCCACCCAGTGACAGAGGCAGAGGTGAGTGTAGGGATGGGCAACATGCACTGCTCCACTCAGAAAGTCCTCTGGGTGGGCAGATCACTTGAGGTCAGGAGTTCGAGATCTGCCTGGCCAACATGGTGAAACCCTGTCTCTACCAAAAATCTAAAAAAGTAGCTGTATATGGTGGTGCATACCTGTAATCCCAGCTACTTGGGAGGCTGAGGGAGGGGAATCGCTTGAACCCAGGAGGCAGAGGTTGCAGTGAGCTGAGATCACTCCACTGCACTCCAGCCTGGGCGACAGAGTGAGACTCTGTCTTAAAAAAAAAAAAGAAAAAGAAAGGCCTGTGGAGTCAAGAGCATCCCCACTTCCCAGTGCAGTGTACACAGTCCCCTTCTTCTGAACAAAACCCCTTTCATCTCTAAGATCTGCAACAGAAAAGAAAATGTGGAAGCATTCCCCTGAACTCACCTTAAAGTATCTCCATCTACAAGGATATGTTTGAACCTCTCCTGATATCGGAAAGCCCGGACCTCTCGAATCTCCCGGATCCTCCGGCGCCAATTCAGAAACCGGTAGTGCAGGTTGAGGTCATCCATCTTGTTCATGAGAACAAACCTGCCAAGGGGAGAAGGGCATTGAGGAGGAAGCAGGGCACTAAGTAAAACACCTCAGCCTGTGTGACCCAGAATGTAGAGAAGGCACTGGCCTGGAGGCCAGCTGCCCAGATTAACCTTAACAATCCCTATCTTCATCCTTCCATTCAACAAACATTTACTGAGCTCCTACTATGCACACTCTTTTCAGTGCTAGGGATAGAGCTATGAACAAAATAGACAGGATTCCCATTCTCACAGGCTGGGAGGTAGACATGACAGGCAATAAACAGACATAATTTCAGGCATCGGAGAAAAGAACAGGGTGATATGATGAAGAATCTGGAGGGCCGGGCACAGTGGCTCATGCCTGTAATCCCAGCACTTTGGGAGGCCGAGGTGGGCGGATCACAAGGTCAAGAGATTGAGACCATCCTGGCCAACATGGTGAAACCCCATCTCTATCAGTAAAAAATAAAAATCTTAGCTGGGCGTGGTGGCACATGCCTGCTGTAGTCCCAGCTACTTGGGAGGCTGAGGCAGGAGAATCACTTGAACCCAGGAGGTGCAGGTTGCAGTGAGCCAAGATCTGACCACTGCACTCCAGCCTGGGAGACAGAGCAAGACTCCGTCTCAAAAAAAAGAAAAAAAAAAAAAAAAAGAATCTGGAGGAGGCAGTGGACAGAGTGGACAGAGACAGTCTCTCTGAGGAGGTGACATTTCAGTTGTAAAGGAACTAGGCATATGACAAGACAGGCATATTCCAGGCAGGAAGGACAACCGCAGGTCCTTGGGTGGAAGAGAGCTGGCATGGTAGAGAAACAGAAAAAAAGGCCCGGACAGCTGGTGTGTAGGGAATATGAGGGAGAATGTACACAATGAGAATAAGGCAGGAGTCAGATCAAGGCTATACTGACAGTGGTAAGGAATTTGGATTTTATTCCAAGATGGAAACCTCTGGAGGGTTGCAAGCAAGGAAATGCCATGACTGGCCAGATATGATGGCTCATACCTGCAATCCCAGCAACTTGGGGGGCTGAGGCAGGAGGATCACTTGAGGCCAGGACTTCGAGACCAGCCTGGGCAACATAGTGAGACCTTATCCCTACTAAAAATCAAAACAATGAGCCAGGAGTGGTGGTGTACATCTGTAGTCCTAGCTACTAAGGAGGCTGAGGATGGCTTGAGTCACAGTTTAAGGCTGTAGTGAGCTCTGATTGCACCATTGCACTCCAGCCTGGCTGACAGAGCAAGACCCTATCTCAAAAAAAATGCCATGAGCTTAATCAGTTCCTAAAGATCATTCCAGCTGCTGTCTGGAGAACTGATCACAAGAGGATCAAGAACAGATGTGGGCAAACAATTCGGAGGCTGTTGCAGCAGTTCGGATGAGAAATGACATCCACTAAGATTAGGCAGCAGCGCAGATGGATGGAAGTGAGATGATGCAGGTATTTAAATAACCATCAGTGCCAACACATAAATGAATGGATTATTTTTCCTGGGAGCCAAAAGTGAGAAAGAGGTGAAACACTCTTACCTTCCCATTCCCCAAACCCTGGGACAGGGGTTTTCTCAAGGCCTCACATTGCCTTGCACACGGTGGGTGCTTAGGAAGCCTTGGCTCGGCTGAATTTGATCCCGGTGCGAAACATACGACTCTAATGCAGTAGCTACAACCCACCACGTGGCCCAGAAGAGTAGGCACCTGTGCAACAGACAGCCCTAAGATTCCACTCCAGGGCACTCAGCCAGGGTTCGACCCCAGGTACATGCTGGTTGCCCAGACCCCACAGTCTTGGCACCGGCGAGTGGCGGCCCTACTGGGCCCTGTCTCCTCCCTGGGCACAGCCTGATCACTGAGATGAGACCCGGGAGCAGCGGGGCCCCAGCCTATCCATGTGCCTACGCCCAGTCTCCCCAGGCCCTCACTGGGCCGAGGGTGCGCCGACGGAGGAAGCCTACTGACCAAGAGCGCAGGGCCCCGCCTCTGGCCTCGGAGCCCCCGCCCAGGACCCCCACCTCCCACGTCGGGCTCCGGGGAGATCCGAGGCCTCCGGGACCCCGCCCCTGATCCCCGCCTACCGGGGCCGCCGCGTCCTCCTCATCCATAGGCCTCTCAGCTCCGCACACAAGCTCTTTGGCCGCCGCCACCACACACATCCGGGTCCCCGCCTTTCCTTCGCCCCTCGAGGCCCTCCCCGCCCCCCCACCTAAGCCAATCAGCAACGGCCTCTGACAACGGGCAGCTGCAGGAGCCAATCGGAGGGCGCAGGCAGGGCGTGGGGCGCTGCCTGGTGCCCCGGGTACCTAGCGCGGGGCCGGGTCTGGTAAGCCCGGCTGTCGATGGGGTGAGCGGAGTCGACGTGGCGGCGCGGACGCTGCTGGGTGACTGGGCGCCGCTGAGGCGGACTGGGGGCGGCTCCTGAGCGGCGCCAGGCGGGACTGGACGTGCGGAGGAGGTGGCCACGCTCGCACAAACGTTGCGAGTATTACTTGTGCCCTCGTTCCGCGCCAGACTTGGTGCCAAAAGCTCTACCAGAATGTCCATTTAATCCATCCTGCAGCCTTATGAAATAAATCTCATTATCTCCCTTTTACAGATGAGCCTGAGGCTGACCTCGATAGCTTGGGCGCTTAACTGTTACCGTGTGCTGTATACCCTCCCGAGCTCCGTTTCATGGCACCGCTCTCTCTTTAAGGCAAGAACGTTCCATTACAGGAGAGAACTTGGGTTGCGGAAGGCACAGTGGCACCAAGCGGCGTGCTGTGGAGGAACACAGGGGTTTTGGTAGACTGAAGGAAAGTTAGACTGGGGTCAGAATGCGAAGGGACGAAGACACTAACATTATTGAACACCTACTAAGCTGTGAACAAAATTCCCATTCTCACCTCTACTAAGGGGTGTCTACTGCCGTTCTGGGAGATTGGGCGCCTAGATCTCCTAGATAAGGACTTCCTTGCTCTTCTCTCATCGCCATATCTCTCTGTTCAGGACATAAAGATTCCCCTCCGGCCGGGCGTGGTGGCTCATGCCTGTAATCCAAGCACTTTGGAGGCCAAGGCGGGCGGATCACCTGAGGTCGGGAGTTCGAGACCAGCCTGACCAACATGGTGAAACCCCGTCTTCAAACAAAAAAGAAAGAAAGAAAGAAAGATTCCCCTCCTCTGTAGCACCTCATTTATTTATTTTCTTTTATTTATTTATTTTTTAAGCACTGTGGTTTGGAAGCACCTCATTTATAACATTTATTATTATCTCTTGCTTTTATTATTGGAGTCACTTGTGTATGTAGACCCGTCTCTGCTAGACTGTGAGCTCCTTCAGACCCCCGAGTCTTAGCACACTAGGTACTCTGGAGTGTTGAGTGCAAGCAGAGCCATCATCTCACATACAGTAAATAGTGTTCACTCGGCATAATGGAAATGGGTGATGGGAATAGATGTAGATGGGAAACAGGGAAACCTGAATTAGAGCCCCTGTTCTATGTGACTAAAAGGTCAAGGTCTTGCTGTTCTCATCCCTAAACAAGAATTAGTGAAGTCTGTATTCTCTTAGCTCCCTTCCAGGCCCTGGGTGACTCAGTTCTGATTCGCTCTCTTCCAACTCGTCTCTGCCTCCTTCTGATTCCTCCATTGCTTCTCCTCTGCTCCTCTTCTTGTGTTATGAAAATACCTCAACCCTGAGCTCAGCTCTTCCCAAAGCCAGCAGAGAGAGACTATCTTAGGAGGCTGCCAGAGTCATGTTCATCCCAGACCAGGGCTCCTTCCAGAAACTAGCTTAGCTGGCTAGGGTCAGACATGGAGAGAAATGGCAGAAGAAAGTGTCTCCAAACTGTTACTGATGGTTGTGATTCCACTCGGGATTTCCCCATCTTTAAGTTCCAGGTGTGGGGCTGGCCGTTTTGGCAAATGCTGCATCCATTGGCAGGCCCAGGACCCAGTTGGTAATTTGTGCTTGGTGTCTACACGTATTTGAATAAACAACTTTATTGCCATATAACTGACATACAATAAACCATATATATTTAAGGTGTACAATTGATTCCTTTCTTTTTTTAATTAGAGACGAAGTCTCACTGTGTTACCCAGGCTAGTCTCAAACTCCTGAGCTCAAGCAATCCTCCCACCTCAGCCCCACAAAGTGCAAGGATTACAGATATGAGCCACTGCACTGGGCCAAGGTATGCAATTTGATAAGCTATATAAACACCCATGAAAATGTCACCACATCCAAGATTGTGACCATATCATCATCATCCCTAAAAATTTCCTCATGCTCCTTTATAATCCCTTCCTCCCACTCTTTTATCCCTAGGAACCACTAATCTGCTTTTTGAAACTTATTTATTTATTTATTTTAAGACGGGGTTTCACCGTGTTGGTCAGGCTGGTCTTCAACTCCTGACCTCAGGTAATCCGCCCGCCTTGGCCTCCAAAGTGCTTGGATTACAGGCGTCAGCCACCACGCCCGGCTGAAACTTTTTTATTTTTTTGAGACAGAGTTTCTCTCTGTTGTCCAGGCTGGAATGCAATGGGACAATCTTGGCTCACTGCAACCTCCGCCTCCTGGATTGAAGGGATTCTCCTGTCTCAGCCTCCTGAGTAGCTGGGATTACAGGCTCCTGCCACAACTCCCAGCTAATTTTTATATTTTTAGTAGAGATGGGGTTTCACCATGTTGGCAAGGCTGGTCTCGAACTCCTGACCTCAGGTAATCTGCCTGCCTCACCTTCCCAATGTGCTAGAATTACAGGCATGAGGCACCACACCCAGCCCACTAATCTGCTTTTTGGTTACCAGCTTAGTTGGCATTTTCTAGAATTTTATATAAGTGAAATCATACAGTAAATGCTCTTTGGGGTGAGGTATATCTGGCTGCTTTTGTTCAGCATAATTACCTTGAGGGATTCATCCATGTTGTTCTTTGTATTAATAGTATTTACTTATTTATTTATTTAGGGGCAGGGTCTTGCTCTGTTGCCCAGGCTGGAGAGCGGTGGTGCGATCAAACTTACCGCAACCTCAAACTCCTGGCCTCCAGTGATCCTCCCACCTTGGCCTCTCGATCATTCCTTTTTACTGCTGGGTAGTATGCTATTGCTTGAATATATTACAATGTATTTGTTCACTTGTTGATGGATATTTGGAGTTTTCCAGTTTTTGGGTATTACAAATAAAGCTACAGTGAATAATCATGTACAAGTCTTCGTATGGACATATTTCATCTTCTTTCTTTTTTATTTTTATTTTTGAGACAGAGTCTAGCTCTGCTGCCAAGGCTGGAGTGCAGTGATGTGATCTCAGTTCACTGCAGCTTCTGCCTCCCGGGTTCAAGTGATTCTCTTACCTCAGCCTCCTGAGTAGCTGGTATTACAGGAACCCGCCACCATGCCCAGCTAATTTTTGTATTTTTAGTATAGACAGGGTTTCACTATGTTGGCCAGGCTGGTCTCGAACTCCTGACCTCATGATCTGCCCGCCTCGGCCTCCCAAAGTGCTGGGATTACAAGCATGAGCCACCATGCCTGGCCACCAGAAATCTTTTATCTATCATTTTATTGATTCGTTTCTAACTTTTTTCCCAGTTTGTGCTGTTTATTATAATAATATATTTCTTGTTTTTATTCCCTACCCCATTCCCAACATAAGGCAATCATTCTTTTTATTTGCCTGAAAGCAATCTTTCTCTTGCTCTAGAAATTGCACATGGATTGAGTATTTGGAGAATTTAGCAAACAAGTCTGTATTTAAGTTATCCACACCCTTGATGTTTTTCTACATTATGAAGTTTTTTGTAGGGTTGGAGGGAGGGAGAGTATCAGGAAGAATAGCTAATGGATGCTGGCCTTAATACTTAGATGACGGGATGATCTGGGCAGCAAACCACCATGGCACACGTTTACCTATGTAACAAACCTGCACATCTTGCACATGTACCCCTGAACTTAAAAGTTGGAAGAAAAAATAAGGAAGCTTTTTGTGTTTTAGTGAAAAGCATTTTGAACTTGGAATCTAGTGGATTCCACCCTTTAGCTTTTGGCTTCTGGCAAGATATTTAACTTCTTTGGATATGTCTTCTTATCTACAAAGTGGAGATGGGAATGGAACATCATGAGACTTGTACAAAAAATAGATAAGCATTTAGTGAATTTGGGTTGAATCTGAATAGATCTGCCCCCTCTTCAGATTGAAGAGCCTTCATTGTGTTTGGTTAGTTCTCACAGGCTGTTTTCCCAGCCTGCTGAAACATTGCCTTTCTCCGGATCTTTTCCAGTCCAGTGAGGTCTTCCAAGGCACAGATTTCTTTTTTTTTTTTTTTTTTTTGGAGTCGGAGTTTTGCTCTTGTTACCCAGGCTGGAGTGCAATGGCGCAATCTCGGCTCACTGCAACCTCCGCCTCCTGGGTTCAGGCAATTCTCCTGCCTCAGCCTCCTGAGTAGCTGGGATTACAGGCACGCACCACCAGGCCCAGCTGATTTTTTGTATTTTTAGTAGAGACGGAGTTTCACCATGTTGACCAGGATGGTCTCGATCTCTTGACCTCGTGATCCACCTGCCTCGGCCTCCCAAAGTGCTGGGATTACAGGCGTGAGCCACCGCGCCCGGCCCAAGGCACAGATTTCTAAATGTAAACAAAACAGTTTTGAAACAGGGTATCATCATTCATTCAACAAATTCTGACTACCTTTGTATGAGCCAGAAACTGAGCTAGACACTTCATTTATTACAGAAAAAAATCACTGAGTGTCTGACACGTATGTTACATGAATTATCGCTAACATTCCTAACAATCCTGTAAAGTAAATATTACCACCCGCATTTAACAGAGGGTAGATACAGGATATGGCCCCTGTCCTAAAGGAGTTGATAGGCCAGTTAAAAGCTGCTGGAAATACAAGGCAAACTACAAGAGATGTTAAGAAGGGACATGTGATTCTTAGAGACAGGTGTGCCTCCTCTGCCTGGAAGCCTTTCCGTCAATTCCTTCCCTCACATATTCCTGTTCCTCCAAGATTCAACCAAAGTGTTATCTCCTCTGTGAAGCCTTCTGTGATTCTTCCAGGCAAGCTTAAGTCTCTCTCCTCTTGATTTACCTGTCTGTCTTCCTGATAGACTATGAGCTCCTTGGGATTAGGATAAATAGACTTACTCAATTTCACCCACACCTTGATAATAAAAATTAAAGAACTCATGGTTGGAGGAGGAGCAAAAGGTTAGAAGGGTGATCATGAGTAAGAGTTTGCAGGTGTGAATTCAAAGAGTCTATTTGGTCAAGATGTGTATTTTGTCAATAAGTGTATATTTGGTCAAAAATATATTTTGTAAGATAGTGATAGGGCTATAGCACTAGTGGCTTTAAACCCAAGAATTTGGACTTGACACTGGGGAAAACAGGGAGTCATTGAAGGTTTCTGAGCAGAGGAGTTATTTGCTATGTTTTCATTTCAGAAAGAATAGTTTGTGTATAGAGTAGATAGCGTCTGAAAACTGGGCAGCCTGTAGGAAATGATTGCCATGGCCCAGGTGAAAGACGATGAGAACCAAACCGTCATGATGGCTTTGAAATGGAAAAACTGGCCGGTGCGGTGGCTCACACCTGTAATCCCAGCATTTTGGGAGGCCGAGGCGAGCAGATCACCTGAGGTCAGGAGTTCAAGACCAGCCTGGCCAACATGGCAAAATTTTTTATTTTTGTCTCTACTAAAAATACAAAAATTAGCCAGGCATGGTGGCGGGTGCCTGTAATCCCAGCTACTCAGGAGGCTGGGGAATGAGAATCACACTTGAACTGGGGAAGCAGAGGTTGCAGTGAGCTGAGATTGTGTCACTGCACTCCAGCCTGGCTGACAGAGCAGGACTCCATCTAAAAAAAAAAATGAAAAAACTGGCTGGGCACAGTGGCTCATTACTATAATCCCAGCACTTTGGGAGGCTGAGACAGGCAGATCACCTGAGGTCTGAAATTGAAGACCAGCCTGGCCAACATGGCAAAACCCCATCTCTACTAAAAAATACAAAAAATTAGCCAGGCATTGTGGCATGCGCCTGTAATCCCATCTACTCAGAAGGCTGAGGCAGGAGAATCTCTTGAACTCATCTACTCGGGGGGCAGAGGTTGCAGTGAGCTGAGATGGCACCACTACACTCCAGTCTGGGCAACAGAGAGAGACTCCATCTCAAAAAAAAAAAAAGTGCTCGCTTCGGCAGCACGTATACTAAAATTGGAACGATACAGAGAAGATTAGCATGGCCCCTGCGCGAGGATGACACGCAAATTCGTGAAGCGTTCCATAAAAAAAAAAAAAAAAAAAAAAAAAAAAAAACCTAAGAAAAAATAAATGAAAAGCTGGGCACGGTGGCTCACTCCTGTAATCCTAGCACTTTGGGAGGCCGAGGTGGGTGGATCACCTGAGGTCAGGAGTTCAAGACCAGCCTGACCATCATGATGAAACCCCATATAAAAAAAAAAAAAAAGAAAAAAGAAATGAAAAAACTTGAAGGCCAGATAGGGGAATCATTAGAAGGACTGATGAAAAAGAATAGGTAATTTCATGAGAAAAGAGTGAAGGGTGACTGGGGAGATTGGGAGAATGATGAAACCACTGACAAAAATGGGAAAGCTAAGGAATGGTTTGTGGGAGAGGATAAGTAAGGTTTTAGATGTGTTGAGTTTGAAATAATAACAGGCAGAAAATTCCATTAGGACCTTAGCAAATGTATTCTGGTTTATTTCCCATTTTCTTCCTTTGAATGCCTAACATTCTGATAGCCCTGTTGGCCATGACGACACATTAAGGCCCCAGAATTTAACTGTAGATGGCCTCTGATAGTCCAGGTGATCTTGTTTAAACCTTTGAGAGTGACAACTCACAACCCATGAAGAGGTCTCCAGAGTTGGGCCTGCCCAGCAGATGCTTCTTACAAAGATCTCTAGCAGCATTCCCAAGGATGAGTAGCAGGCCAGTGAGGTAGAGAAGATAGTAATGAGACAGGAGAGAGGGTCATAGAAAGCTCAAGCTCTGGGTTCAAATCCCT